GCGTAAAACACCACCAGAAATTAGAGCTTGCAGTTTAAGCTATTATCATGGGCCCTCACATGAAAAATTATTAAAAATAGGGCATTTACATATATACCACCCAATAACTATGAATACATATTTAACACCTAAAACTTTTTTTTTTACATTCATACAACCAAAATCTTTCCTATTACAGCAATTTTAACTTTATAAAATTGAAATACATCAGTTCAAGCATATGTAAGGTGGTATGTATGTAAAAGTTAAATTTTAGTTGTTAAATATGTAAATATCTAGATATTGAATGGTATGTATGTGAATCTTCCTTAAAAATACACCAAGCAATACACTGTTCAATTGATGGATAAATAATATCCCGCAACTTATGATTCCACTGCTATTATTAAACCAATTATTTTAGCAAAACACTTGGAACCAAAACACAGTTGTCTTAATAGTTGATGAACTCTCATAATCATGCAAATCCTAGACTCAAACCATAGGACTTGTTTGGGACAAATTTTGTTTTTGTTTTTATGTTTATTTTTTCTCCTTATTCCAAAAAACAAATTAACATGTTTTGTAAAACACTCAAAACAACTTTTAGGTATTTTGAATGATTTTAAAAACAATCATATCTTACTAAAATATGTCAAACATATTTTATCTCAAATCACAATATATACAAAATAAAATAAAATAAAAATAGAAAATAAAAATAAAAGTGATCCCAAACGGCCCCTTAATTATGAAATTATTGTAACACATCGTCAAATCAAATACAATTCAGTTATTATCTCAAGATTTCTTAGATTAAACCATATAGACAAAATTATGTCTCAATTTTCTCAGTGATAGCATGAATTGTGCAAAGTGTTACATTTTCATAGAACCTACAAATCATATATAAATAGACTAAGGGTCTGTTTGACGCAGTTGTTGATTATTTATAATCTGGTGAAAAACAGATTATTCTGATAATCTGCAGATTATCATAATAACTTGGCTTGCTGTTTAGGGCAACTTATTCATAATAGTTTATTGATAGTTGTTGTTGTATAAATGACCTTCATGTCTCTGTTTGGTGAAATTGTTTGCAACAGAACTAAAATGAGAACAGAAACATATGATACAGAAGCCTGAAATAATCACAGATAAGTTCAAAAAGATGACAAACATCAAACTTTGTATATGGCTTAAAAGAAAAATAGTAAAGAACTTGGCCATTTAATGCATACCAGTAATATGACAACCATTATATCGCCACCTCAAATCAACAACCAAAATATGGCAACCATTAGCCAACAAATTTCAATCTACAAACAGATCACGAGAATGAACTCTGCAATATCACCATAGACACCAAAACCATGAAAGAATATCCAATGGTGTTAAAAATGGGTTTGAAGATCCCATTTCGAACCATTACAGTGGAAAAGAAAAACTTCGGTGGAAAAAAATGGGTTTCAAGATCCCATTTCGAACCAATCTTCAGCACAAGCCATCCATCACTTTAAACATCTAACAATGGCCCAAAATAATGGGTTTGAAGATCCCATCTAACAATTGTTCGCTCTCACCTTGAACTATAAGGAATGAATCAATTGCACTGAAAATCCCATTGCATATCAAGAGCACAGAAACAACGAAGAGATGTTATAAAATTCCCGGTAATATTTTTGTAAAATCAAACCAAATCCAACTCCAACTCAACCAACTGCACCCTTGGATCAGAAAGAACTCTTTGCTCTGCTCCCTTCGTTGTGAAGGGTTTTATATGGCATAATTAACAAAAGACCACCCTTATCCACCCCATTGTGCCAGTTTAGCACAGACGTTAGCTAATATCAAATGCAAACAGACAAAAAATCAGGGAGGAGCAAGACATACCTCACTTGAGGCGAGATAGAGCATAAGAAAGTTTGGGGAGGACGATATTGGCGAATGTTAAAAATCTTTACCTTTGTTTCGATCTCGTCACAGGTCAGGAGGAAGAAATTCGTTCGGTAAGGTGAGAACGAAGGAGAGCGGAGAAGGGCAAAGCAGGAAAATCTTACCCTAACGCGCTACACAAACGCAGAACACGGGCCTCCTACTGCTTCACAGAGTTATGTTATTATCCCACTCAGCGTTTCGGAGCGGCACCATTAAGCGAGACGAACGCCTTTTCCAAACAAAGTCCAAAAAAAGCGGCGGCGTTTTGAAAACGACGTCGCAGGCCAATAAGCTACCTCAAACAGGCCCTAAAGCATATACCGTGGCTCTTGATGTTTGGCTATCAACTCAAGTTTGGGAAAGCAATGAAAAATTAGTTTTCATCAAACTCAACTGATTAATAAGAGCATATCCGACATCATTATATGCCAAATATAGTTGCCTTGAATACAGAAAATAACACCTCAAAAGTATCCAACTAAAAGGTATAAATCAAAAGATACGCACAAAAACAGCAAAACATTCTAATATACTAAAAATACATTCAAAATTTTCGATAAAATCTTTCTTGGGTGTTTGGTCCTTAAATTTTCCTTGGGATGGTATCCAGTTGCCATACTCCAAACTTCATAAATTCTTTCAAGGAATTGAAATATGAACACTCCTGGTAATGGACAGATCATCGAGGACTGTTTTGGAAATTGAAACTCAACTGAATTTATTCAAATACTCTTTGGAGTGTAGTAATAATAATAATAATAATAAGAAACGGTCGAACTGGCCAGTGGTGTTAGTTTTTTAATAGCAAAAAAATTTATGACTAGAAATAGCTCAACACTGGTGTTGCACCTGAGAACCCACTTGAAATTTGGAAAAATTTCATTATCCTGACCCTCAAATCATGACTTCAGAATTGAATGCTTCTTTCATTTCAAATTCAACAGTATAATTTAAATGCAATTTCAATCACAACACGAACCGCCATTGCACTTACGAATATTTAAAATATTTTCACCAGCTCTTATCTGTGCATAAGAAGTTCCAATTGCTCAAAACCCTCTATATTTTATGATAATAATAAGGGAGGGCATGTTGAGTTCACTGAAGCCTCTAGAACGCCAAAACCTATTTGTGTGTTTGTGTGTCGATATATATATATATATATATAATTGCACATGCTAGTTTATTAATAAAGGTTGGTAATGACAACTTGCTAGTAGGTTTAAATATTTAAAATTTAATGTACTTATTTTTTCTATTCACAATAAAATGAACACTGAGTTATGAAACCAAAATAGTTTATTAAAAACTTAAGAGTATTAATTTAGCAAAGATGCATGAATGTATAAAAATATATATAATTCGTACATATTTATGAAGTATAAAAAATGTAAGCAATGCTTCAAATTTATTATACTATGGATATCAAAATAAAATATAAGCTGATAAACTCATATTATAAAGAATGGTCTAATCAATTTAAATCATTAGAATAAGAAACTACTGATATTTAAAATTATTTTGTATAGCTAAGAAAATATTTTAATAGATATCAAAATAAAATTTTGAAGATTAAAGTAAATAAATATATTAATCAAAAGATTATAATATTAATAAATGTAATAGGAATATTAAATTAAATTAAAACAAAAAAGTTTATATTTTAATCATTTTATATATTTTTAAAATTAAATGCACTTATTTTAATTATTTTTCAACGTTTTTTAATGCAATAGAAATTAAGAAGTGCTAAATACTTTAAATAGCTTTGTAAGCATATTTCAACTCTCTCAAATTAAGATAAAAAAATTATAGAAGAATACAAAAAAAATTATGAATTATTATTTAAATTTACATTGAAAGATTAACTATAAAGTATTTAGAATATTAAAATTTTATATGCATGTTATCAAAGAGAATTTGATATATAGAAAACATATAATTTTTGTTGTTAGATTGTCAGGATTAAAAATAATGCAAACAAAATAAAATAAAATTATGAGAAAAATAATGACAAAAAAAACAAGGAAATGACAATGGGACTTGAAGAATTTTAATGACAATTAATTTGATTTAACATTCCTAAATGATTCCATAGATAGGAATATGCTTCATGGAGATTTTTAAATATAATGCAATTCTGAATAAGGAGTTATGAGAAAAATATTCAAGGATTACCATTCAAAATTGGGTAATACTATTAAGGCTATAAGTATGCTTCATAGATTTAGAATCCACTTATAATATATTTTAGAAAATAATCACATGCTTTGAATTGTAACACTTACAATTCAATGCATTTCTTAGACTTTAAAGATAAAGATTTGAAGTTGGTGAAAGCTAATGAAAAGTTAGGATTTTTTTAAAAAAGTAAAAGATTAGGATTATAAATTGATAGAATCATATGTCCTTTTCTAAATAGTTGTATGAATAAGAGCAAGCTTTATCTCTTAAAAAGGAAGAACTAAACATCTAATAATTATGCAATATGATTAAGACATGTGAGCATATTATGCTTAATCTCACATTGAATGATAAAATAGTTGATGTAAAAATAATATTATTGAACTCTCGCCTAACCCTTTTTTTTTTCTAAGTGGATTTGATGCAACTTTAGCGTAAATAAAAAAAGGGAAATTTACATACATAGCACTTAATTCTTACATATTTACATACCTCACACAAATTTTCATATTTATATACATTGCAGTTTGGTGTTTTAAACATATGCATGAAAGGGCAGATAAGTGGATTTCACTTTTAAAAAGTCGTAATAGTGCTATTTTTTATGTGATATTAAAGTTTTGAGTGCTGTGCGTGCAAATATGAAAGTCATATGTGATATTCGTAAACACATAAGAATTGTGTGCTATATATTTAAATTGCAAATAATCAGCATACAGTTCTATACTTTACTGACAAAACAGCAAGAACAATCGAACAATTCCAAAAATCAAATCATTCCAATCCAACCATTCTATCATCCCCAACATTTTCTTTTTATTTTTCATTCTAATCAAAAGTACTCCACTATAGCATCTCATTCATCATTATCAATCAAGAATCTAATCAATGGAAACTACCTGAAAAGAATCCATCATCAAAGGCTGATGAGGAGTGGCCGCAATTAGCCCAACGACGCTGGGGGAGACCGCCGCCTTCGCTTGCGAGAGGCGCCACATATACCAAGATCCGACCGATCTATATGGCCTCCACCGCTCACACAACTGCTCCATCTGTGACGGCCGCGGGGTCTCCGCCAACCCATACAAAACCTGCACGCCGCGCCGCACCGTGGCATCCCCCACTGGCAGAACATCAGGACGATGCAGCGAGAAGATCATGAACATATGCGCCGACCACGTCCCGATCCCCTCCACCATAGTCAGCAACGCAAGCAGCGATCGATCGTCGAGCGAGACGATCGCTGCGTCGGAAAGAACTCCCGTATGGAACTTGCGGGCGAGATCATGGAGGTAGCTGGATTTCCGGGCCGAGATGCCGATCTGGCGGAGGTGATCAGAGGAGAGCGCGAGGACCGCGGAGGGTGAGACGCCGCCGTGGGCCTCGCAGAGCTTGAGGAAGCGCTCGTAGGTAGGGACGGCGGCTTTGGGAGCGAGTTGTTGGTGGATGATGCTGCGGGCTAGGGTTAGGAACGGGTGCTGAAATTGGTTAAGGCTAAGGGGCTCGAGCTCGTCGATGACGGCGGCGAGGTGGGGGTCGGCGGCGCGGAGGTGGCGGATAGCAGAGTCGAGCTCTCCGGGGGCGGAGAGGGGGCGAGGGAGGAGGAAGAAGGAGGGAGGGGGTGGAGGGGTGGTGGAGTCGGGGGAGAGCTTGCGAAGCTTTTTGGGGCGAGAGAGGGATTTTTCGCCGTCGACGGCGGAGATCGATGAGACGGAGGAGGAAGGGGAGGGTGAGGAGAGGTTTGGGTCGGGCATGGGAGGAGGTGGAAGAGGTCGGATGCTGTCGGTCATGGGTGGCGGATTGTGGCTGGGGCAATAAAGGAATTTGGTAAGTTGAATAGCACAAAAAATTTTTATGTGATGGTCGATTTTTAGAAAAATATAAATTTACAAATTGATACATATTTTGGTTATAATATAGTGAGATGAAAATTTGTGTCCTAATCTTGAAGAGATCTAAAGTTCAAAATAAAATAAGTATAGTGAAGCATGGCCCATCAACAGAAGATTACAAGACTCGCTCAATCAATCGGATGCAACCATTTAAACCAAGACCAAAGCCAACCGAGATATTAGAAGGACAAAAATACGACTGAGTCATCTGAGCTTAAATGATTCGGGCTGAAACCAGACAAATAGGCTTTTGATTCAACCACTGCAAAAAAGCAGACCTAAATGTAGTAATCTATCTTCTAGTAGATCTGATCCAAGGAAAGAAGCAATTCCTCAATATAAATCATCATCCTAAGGATGTCGTTTAGGTTTTGCATCAAGGATCAATGATTAAAAATGCACTAAAAGGTATTATAATCATCTCTCACTTGTTTTTCTTCGAGGAGTGAGTTACATATCAAGTTGTAACAAGTCACCTTCTGCTTAATAGTCTAGTGTCGCTTTGTCAATAGAAGTTCCTTACCATGGATCAAGGGTCGAAAACCAGACTTGATTAGTTTTTCAGTAGAGCCTCGTTGATTGAGTCAGCCTTGCGTACCCGAATCCAGTCAAACTCAGCTGATCGACATCTTCGACTAAGTCTAGCCTACTAAATCGCCATTGTAGAGCCAAAGGAAGACAGTTTCAGTCGAGCAAGTCAGAGAGTAGCCGAGCGATAGACTTCATATATTGATACAATTTACTCTTCATTACTATTCACTTCTCTCTCAATAACTCTCTCTCTCTCCTTCTCTCTCTCCTTCTCTCTCACTTGCTCATCTTTTATACTCTATTCCATGAGATGTGATTCACGCGCAGACTATTCACTTCTCTCTCAATAACTCTCTCTCTCTCTCTCCTTCTCTCTCACTTGTTCATATTTTATACTCTATTCCATGAGGTGTGATTCACGTGCACGTAAGAATTCAACAAATATTATATAATATGTCATTAATAATAAATGTTTGCTCTCATTATTTTATTAATTAACCAACCACCTGATGGGCATGCATGATTTGATTTCAAATGGATAAGGACTCGTAGCTGATTCAAATATTTTTATCATCATATTACAAAATGAAATTAAAAATGATTTAGTACATAATTGAATTAAATGTTTGTATCAATATATAACTTTGATTTGATTTGTGGTTTAGAGCTCCAAACTACAACTAAATGGTTGGGTTGATTGGAATTGAATTTTAAACTTGGTTTGATGTTTTAGAGCTCCAAACTACAACTAAATGGTTGGGTTGCTTGGAATTGATTTTTAAACTTGGTTTGATTTTACATATATAATAGCACATTAAGATGCTCCTTTTTGGTTTTGTTTCACTATTTAAGGAACATTTGATCACCTCGTACTTAGATCAGTTGGTCAGATATCTGCTTGTCAGTTGTAAGTCTCATCTTTTCTGGTCTGGGGTTTGATTCCTCCCGATTATAGAATGTGGTACTCAAATTCATATATATATATATATATGTGTGGGGGGGGGT